TAAGGAGATGAATCTTCATATGTACTTTCATCACGTCTTTCCTGTTGAATCTCATGTTGCAATGTAAACAAGAGAACGGCCTCGCATCGATATGAGCCCTCATATGTACAAGCAGATTGCTATTTAGAGTGAAACTCTTCCCGCATATATCGCATTCAAACCGCCTCTCACCTGTGTGAGTTATATTGTGTACAACCAGATCCCTTTTTCGAATGAATTTTTTTTCGCATATATCGCATTTGAACCGCTTTTCACCTGTGCGAGTCGTATCTGTTCTTGACATTTTCCTTTTCCTTTCTATTCCTGTTTGTTCCTTACTCCCTTCTTGAATTGGCAAGTTCAGTGATCTTGCGTCATCCTGACCCGTTTGTTCTTCCTGTTTGGATGATTCCTTTTGAAACGATTCGATCCATAATTTCTTCGGTTTTATTCCTATACATGTTTGTTCTTCACTGGCTTCTTCAACTGATAAGTTCAATAATCTTGCGTCATCTTGAGGAGTTTCACTGAGTTTCACTTGTCCTCCACTCACTTCTGGCACTGATGGATTTGATGGCCCAATCCATCCCTCAATCACTCTTGGCAATGACAAATCCAACGGTTCTATTTGTGGCTCCTCAAAATTATATGAAATTATCAATTTTAAATTGTGCCAAAATTTTGAAACTTTGGAAGTATTGCAGCGTTATCTTCTATTTTTTTAACTTTAAATGAACTTACGGTAGTTTGACTGTCACTCAGTTGGAAGAGGAAGAAGGTAAAACAGATTAAACGCATTTTGATAGGAGTGGTTTCTTGCCAATTCTAAAAAAAAAAACATTCAATTTTACTAGTGACCGAATAGTTGCTTATGAGAAACAACATCACCTCAAGGATATACTTTTCTAAATATATTAGCATCGGTACTCATTCATTGCTTGTATAATGCGAACATCTCTCATTCAAACGTCAAACACAACAAATTATTCATATTGAAGATTAGCCTCAAGTATTCCAAAGTAAATTTTGTGCAAACTAGCACAGTTACAAACTTGATAAAAAGATAATTTCGTTTAAAAAGTAGAATGCTTATCTTGGAATCCTAAAATCTCATAACACAAAATTTTGAGAAGCAACGGACATTCCCTGTCGAAATAAATCAAATAGAAGTTACTAAATGAAATTCCACGGTAACAGATACCACCCGAATATATTGGTCGGGGATAGCGTGTATAAATACTAATTTCGATGGGAGTGGCTAGCCACGTGTATCGATAACCTATAGTAATATAATATTAGCAATCACTTTTAATCCTTTATATAGAATAATTTAAATTCAGCTGCCACGTTGCATTGTGAAATGAATAATTTCAAAAGGAAAAAATAATTTCAATTCCATATTGCATTGTAAAAAATAATTT